TATCTTTTTTTAAAAAGCCAGTTAGATAAACATAAATTTATTTAAATAATTTAATTCAAAAGTCAGTTAAGATATTTAATAATAAAAATAAACATAATTTTTTTATATGTATGTTTTTTATTAATTAAAAAGTAAAAAAATAATAAAATTATAATTACAATTAATAAGTAAAAAATCTTAAATATTCAATAATAAAAAGCTAAAATAAATTCATAAATTATAAAATATTTAATTGATATGATCTACAAATTGATCTTATAGAATTGTTTTATGATAATTGAAATTTATTAGATAATTATTTGAAAGAGAGTTTACCAAAATGAGTTAAGTTTTAAGTATATAATACTTAGTCATGATTTTTTTTAAAACAAAAATAATTGGGTAGTAGTAATAGTGATAGTAATAGTAATAGTAATAGTAACAGTAACAAGGTTAAGTAGGATTAAAAAATATTTTATTTTTTTTTAAAGGATTTTTAATCATCTAAATATTAAGAGTTATTTTTACAAGTGAAGTTTACTCCTTTAGATTTTATAGGAGCATTAAGAAATGATAGAAAATTATGAAGAGATGATATGATTATTTATGAAATCATGAAATATTATTTTTAAAATTATGTAAGAATTTTATATTAAAAAAATTAAGAAAAGAACATTTAAGAAAAAGAAGTGGAAAAATGGTGGGACCCAGTCCCTTTCACCTTCCCATTTTCATTTCATTATTCCCGCAGCTTCATCTTCCAGCATGTGTTAGCTTTATCCTTTCATTAGGAGCTTTCATGATCTTCTATGTTTCATTTCGACGGAGGAGGTGGAGGCCAGGAGCCACACTTCGAAGTAGGGACGACAATAATGCAACTTAGTGCGAGCAACACACGCGGTGGAGACCGGGTGTCGGTGGCGGTGATTGTGATCTCTTGTCAGATCCAATAGACTAGGGAGAGTGATGGGTAAGCCGGAGCAACCATGGGAACGACAATGAAGAAGGAAGCTTGGGACAACATGGCTAGGGTAGATCCGTAGATAGCAGATAAAGAAAAGAGAGAATAAAAATTCAAAAAGCATTTAAGCCCTCAAGATGAATGAGCTTTGTTAAAAACGCTGGTTTGGACCTTAACTATGGTTGTTTTTTTTTTTTTTTTTTATCCAAACATGATAAATTGAACGTTTAACATCCCAACTTAAATTAGAGCTATTCCAACTTAAGTTAGAATTCAATTCAAACATACACTTAGACTTGAGCTCCAACAAAGATTTATCTGGCAAGAGGATCTTTTGCTGCATCGAGTCATTCACGGCGGGCTAATTATTGAGAATCGAAGCCATAGTTGGAGGCTCGGATGGCGAGAAAAGCTGTGCCACGAACTCCGACCCTTCGGAGGGTAGTGAGATGAGGACACATTATCGCAGGTGAAGTCACCAGTCAAGGTGGTTGACAATGGGAAGATGAGGCCTTGTGGTCATTTCCCCATGTCTTGGAATTCTTTGGAAGCTGGATGATGGCAAGGGTTTGGGCTGAAGACAAGGCGTGAAGACAGGAAAGAACATTGCAAATGTTGCCGTGGCCATCGGCTAGATTGATAAGGGAAGAGGAGGAGGATTTTTTTTTTCATGAAAAATAATAAAGGCATTTTGTTTCAAAACTTATTTTCAATTAGGTTTCTTGATCTTGTACTAAATTTTCAAAATTTATCGAACCTAATTTAAAATAAAATCTCTTCTGTGATCCTATGCTAAAATTTTCCCATAATAAGAGGCTTTCAATTATGAATATTTCGAAATGGATTCAGTCAGGCTCATTATGTCAAAGGAGATAAACGGCAGTATTATGAAGCCTCTTAAAAGTGCCACAGATTTGCAAGGATATCTATGATATAGATAAGAGTTCATGCTCTTGTACTTAGTTTATTGTAACTTGTGTTGTATAATCTCAAACCTCGGCTTGCCACTGTTAAGGGGGGGGGGGGGAGGTAATACTATGAAACGAAACAAGTAGGCTTTTTTATGCAGATACAGCCGCAATCGCTGTCTGAGAAATAATACAAATAACTGGATCCCATAAGCTAACCACCAATTTTATTAAATTTTGATCAAGTGGTTTCTAAGATATTAATTGTACTATCTGGTTCGTGGAGCCAAGATTATCCCTCTTCTACATGTATCAATTAATAAAACTTCAACAAATGCACATTTTCAATTTGGTTGATTGTCATTGCCCAGTGCATCTTCCTCTGTGTGGGCTTCACATAGGAATCCATCTTATCCACTTTTCTTTAAATACCACAATTAATTTATCCCCAAGAAAACCACAAACAAAACTACTTTTTGCGGCCAAAAAAGAGAAACTGTTTTTTTTTTTTAAAATAGAATTAAAATCTCACATGTTTGATAATCTACAGGACTGCACGCAAATTTTGTTTTAAATTTTTCAGTATTAAGCTCTTATGCATGGATTTTTATATAATTAGAGTAAAACACATTAACATATGATATGATGTTTTTTTTAAAGAAAATAATTAATACTGAAAAAAGAAAAAGAAAAAAAAAGAAGAGGGAGAGTCGCTAAGGCTTGTTTCGGGGAAACTAGAGCGTCATGCAGCCGATGTACAGAGCGCAAGATGCACAACTGAGAGAGAATCATACAGAACATGAGCCACTTTACAAGCAATAAAGTCAACGAGGCGGGACCTAGCGATGTGGTGGGAGACAACGGCAGTGTTCCCCCGGCGCAAGATAGCGAAGACGGGGGCGTAGCGTGGGCAGTGGCGCAGTCAAACTGGAGCACTACCTTGGGTTCCGAGTCAGGACCTTTGGTGGGTGTTTTACACGCGTCTAGGCATTGATTGGTTCATAACGGCTATTTTATTGCATGGACCCCACTGTTTGGCGGACATTTTCATACACGCCGCAGATTAGATGGATGCTTCGAAGCAAAGTTAATCACAGCTCTCTTTTCTCTTGCATCTCTTGCCTTCGCCTTTATCTTCTCGTTTTATCCACAATCAATTAAATCATTAACACCAATATTAAAAATTATAAATTATATAAAGTAATTATTTATAAAATATAATGTATAAATTAAAAAAATTACATTCAAGGACACCTTAAAAAAATTATTTATAAACAAAAATTATTACGAAATGATCTGTTAAAATAAACTGTGGCTTGTTTTTTTTAAACGGAATTTGTTGTTTATCTTTGTTGATGAATAATTTGCTTGAGTGATCACTTAATGTAATTTTTTCTATAAATTATTACTGTGGTTTATTTATTAGATTTTATATAACAATAAATATAATAAAAATACAATCATGTGATGTTCATTTGATTAAAAGTAATCAGAATAACACACCCTAACAATTAGCATCCCTTATATTTTATTTTAATTATAAATACCTTTATTCTATTTTTAAAAAACTTTTTAGTTTGGTTATTTACAAAACACAAATATTTTTTTATTTTTAAGATTTCATTTTCATCTGCTTTTAGTTGACATTAAGTCATATGTATTAAACCAGAGTACTTCTATTTAAATATAATTGTTATCTAAAAATTATTTAAATTGTCCCAAAAATTCATGCATGTAAATTTTTATTTTTTATTTATATTTTAAATTTTTAGTTATGTAAATGTATTTATTTAGTAGCTTTAAAAAATTCAACCATATAGTTACAAGAATTAATGAAACAATATTTTTAAATTATTTACTTAAATATTGACATAATTATTTAAATTTTGTAAATTGGGAGAGATGGTAGACAATTAGATTATAAGATATAATTAATAATTTTATTTTGAACAAAATAGATATGCAGGCTTTGTAATTTTAACAAATTGAAAAGGAAGTCAATGTATTTTACTCAAGTAATTATAATAAATATTTTCTTATTTTTACTGAGCACGTTGCATAAAATTATAATTAATTATTACTCCATGCTCTCCAATTTTATTTATAAGTTATGTCTATCAATTTCATCAATGCAAATATAAGAAAAGAAAAAAAATAAAAGTAAATAAAATTTTAAATATGACTCTCAATTAAAAAGTAAAAAAGTTACATAATATTATTTTTTATCTCTTCATTACTTTTTAAGCAAAATTTAAAAATTTTAATTTGAAACAGAGTAATCTCATTAACTAATAATTTGTAAAATGGATCTGATTATATTTTTAGAAAGCATCTAATATTCGGAGGGAGCCATACCTAAAATTTGAAATTGTTCTCGTGTGTGTTTAGGAACTGACCTTCTCAGTCGAAGCTAGGCAGTTTTTCCTAAAACAACGTGAGAATATATTTGTCTCAATATTTGTAAAACTCAGTTTCGGGAAAAGAAAATCTTTTGATCTTTAATTTTTGTCAGTAATCAATCTAGTCCATATGAGTATTATTTATCAACTTGGTTTATATGATTTCATAATTATATAAAAGTACCCGTAATTTTCATAGTTTATAGGTAAAAAAAATTTATAGTTTAAAAATAATATTGAAAAAATATACTCCCTTCATTAAAAAATGTAAGGCATGTTTTAACGAGTTAAATATTAAAAAATTAAATATTAAAAAATATAAAATATTTTTAATATTTTAAATAGACGAAATATTTGATTCTAGAATTTTTATATGGTTATGACACTAATTCAAACCATAAGAATTATTTCTATATTATCATAAAAACATAGGGACGTGATTGATAATAATCAAACCAGATCAAATGATAAGGGAAGGAAGTCCAGAACAAAAGCTTCCATTAAGATTCCCAAGATTCTTGAGAAGTGGAGGTCAGAGCAATGGGGGCAAGAAATTAATGTGGCAACGGAGGTGAAGTGGTAAAAATGAAGCTGGAGTGGTAGGTCTTATGAAAGATTAATTAAAGTTGAAACGGAAGAAAGGAAACGAATAACAAAGGTCTTCGGATGGGACCCCCTTCAAATCTGTGACAGAGACGGCAGTTTCCTTTCAGTTCCTCTGCCTTTGCTTATTTAAATTCCGTTTCTTCCACCTTCTCTCTCTCTCCCAAATAGCTTCTCTTTCTCATGTTTATTATTTTCTCATTTTCCCTCTTCCTTCCTGCTCCTTCATGCTCCTGATTTGTGCATCCACAGCGTAAAATATAATATTGCGTAATCTTATTGAGGAAACTAGGAATATAACAAGAATAAAGTTGCAAGCTTGGTACTCTTATTCTGTGTGTGATTTCTCAGAGCGAACCGAAGTCTTCTCTTTCGCACCTTTCAATCGCAATCCGATGGAAGAAGAATCTAGGGTTTGATAGTACCAAGTCCATCAAGGTCCGTCCTTTGATGCTTTTCTCATTTTTTTTCTTACTGGAAATTGGGTCGATTCCTGTACTTTCGCAGATTCTGTTTAGACTTTTTCACCCCATTATTCACTGTCCCACTGGATTACTGCCACTCACCGCTGGGTCTTTCTTTCCCAAGTTAAGCCTTTCATGAAGTGAAATTTTCGGAGTTGGATTAAAAAATCCGCTGCTTGGCTTGTTGTTTGATGTAAATGGGATTCTCTGTTCCTGGCTCTTACAATTTGGCGCATGTGATCCGAATGTCTTATATATCTGCTAACATATGGGATTTTCTGATTTTCTGATGTTCTTTCTTGTCTTAGGTTTCTGCCCCCCCTGGCTTTGGAGAACTGCGTTTTTACTTTGATCTTTCTAACTGTTAGATTTAGCTAGAAGCTAGCATGGAGGAGGTTGAAGAAGCAAACAGAGCAGCTGTTGAAAGGTGCCACAGAGTTCTGAGTTTGCTGTCTCAGCGCCAGGATCAGGTTCCTTATGCCAATTTAATGGTGGAAACTGGCGAGGCTGTATCCAGATTCAAGAAAGTTGTTTCCTTGCTCAACAAAGGTTTGGGTCATGCAAGAGTCAGGAAGCTCAAAAAACTTCAAATCCCTTTCCCTCAAAGTATTCTCTTGGACAATCCAAATTCCAAATCAAACCACTGTCCCAAAAATCTGCTGTCTCTGCAACCTTGCTCTTCTGACAATTCAATTCAGGAGTTGGGCTCGAACATTGGAAACTCTCTGTCTCTGGGAAACCCATCTTTGGAATTGGGTTCAAGTGGTAAAAATCCCCTACACCTTAACCCTCCAGTGTCATCGCAGCACTATAACTTGCTTCAGCAGCAGCAGGAGCAGCAAAGAATATTGCTACAACAGCAACAAAAGAAGCACCAAGCAGAAATGATGTTTCGAAAGAACAATAGTGGAATCAATCTGAATTTTGATAGCTCTAGCTGCACACTAACGATGTCATCTACTAGGTCTTTCATTTCTTCCTTGAGCATAGATGGAAGCGTTGCTAATATGGATGGGAGTGCCTTCCATTTAATAGGAGCTCCACACTCTTCAGATCAGAATTCACAACACCACAAGAGAAAGTGTTCTGGCAAAGATGAGGGCAGTGTGAAATGTTGGAGCAGTACTAGATGCCATTGCTCAAAGAAGAGGTCAGACTTCCTCCATTAAGCGTGTCTTGATTTGATGGTTGTCTCCTTTTTCTCCTTAGTTCTGCTATTAACTTCCTTGTATTAAAGGTGGTTCCTTGATGGGGAAGTTTGATATGTTTTTAACATAGCTTGTGCTCTCCACAGAAAGCATAGAGTGAAGAGGTCAATCAAGGTGCCTGCCATTAGCAACAAGCTTGCTGATATACCCCCTGATGATTATTCATGGAGAAAATATGGGCAGAAGCCAATCAAAGGCTCTCCTCATCCTAGGTATGCAATAAGATCCCTTAACTGTTTGGTTGGTTGGTGTGAACTTATAAAATCAACTTCCAGGCCTTTTAGTACAGACCTCACAACTGTAATTGTATTCACTGCTGTGTTTGTTGAATATGGCATTCTGGTATTCTCAGCACAAAGTCCTGTTTGTAAGGCTTTTGCTTTTCCATTCGTGCAATCAACAATGAGAAGTAAATTGAAACTTGGGTTACCAGCTTCATGTCGAACAAATTTAGTATAATCTTAGACCATGAACTACAAGCTTTAATATGAACGAAACTGAGTATCATCCCCTTTCGTGCAGAGGATACTACAAGTGCAGCAGCATGAGAGGGTGCCCTGCTAGGAAGCATGTGGAGAGGTGCTTAGAAGACGCTTCAATGCTAATTGTTACATATGAAGGTGAGCACAACCACCCTAGAATATCAGCACAATCTGCAAATCCATGATTCAGGCTGGATCGTGTTGGTGCTGTACATAATCGTAACTTGTAAGTGGTGCAAGCATGGATTTGGGAGGTTTGGCTGAATGAGCCATCTAGCTAGAAAGCGAAGATAAGCAGTGTCCAGAAGGCAGATTGCTGTAAAATGGGTAGTTTCAAATGGTAAGAATTATGTCGTTTATCACTAGCATGTTATGAACAATTTAGGGGATTCGGATTCTACATGAATGAAATGCCTTTAAAAAAAAAAAGGTGATATTTTGCCTTGGTGACCACGAAGATCTAGGAATTTGATTGTGAGGGAATATCTCTAGTCCAACATATATGCATCAAAGAAGGCGTCTGCTGGTGAGTATTCTGTATTCGATTCCTTCCAGGTGTACTCTACTTTTGCAGAAGAGTAGTTTAATATAACAGTTTTTCACGCAATGTCTGATTATACCGGCCATCGCTTCTATTCTTATAATTTCGCTAATCGCAACAATCATGTTGATTTTGCATCCGAGCAGCTTCTGAATAGTATACAATGGTTAGCTGTGCTAGGATTTACCAGGAGCAGCAAAGAGTCACAACCTTTCACGTCGGCATTTTGCTAGACTTTATTCAATTTGTTGCCCTTAGCATGTGGATTGTTTTCTGGTCAAATACATTGATTACGTTCCCAATGGAAAAAAGGCACTCAGGCTTGTTAGAGGCGCAGCACAGTAATGTGCATAGCTCGAACAAATGGGCACTTGTGGGGTAACATGCCTATCACAATATTGGGTGGGACAAAACGAAGGAGAAGGACACAATTTCTCGGGTAACACTTTCAGAAACTAAACATCTTTTACCAGCAATACAACTAAAATATACAAGGGATAGAGGCATTACACTGTTCTGCTGTCTCTGAATTTCAACAACCATGTAAAATAACATAACATGGTAGGATACACTAAGTATTTTGTTAATCCAACTTGTTCCGTCTCTTGCGTCCCAAGGGAGGATCAATAAATGATAAAAATTGAATACCAAGATTATGAGCCGATCGCAAGCTAATTAGCATATTCGTCATCCTCTCAAAAAATATAATAAAAAATTATGTGAGGGGATTGACATCTTCCTTAGATATCTCTAATTTCCCAAGGGAAATAAGTGCGGCTTCTCATTATACTATCGTGTTTTGTTAAGTATCCTCAACTGTCCAACTAAGCTGGTGATTGCAAATGGATACCGAATGATCCCTTAGACCTACTAATGGGATCACATTTCTATGAAAAAGTAGGATAGCAGTATTTGTACTCAAATTGTGAATTTGAAGGTTTGGACTCAATTCAACTAAACCGACCTTAAAACAATTAAAAATGAATATTCATAAAATTTTAACCACTAAGTTAAAACTGGGTCTAGGCCATTATCTCCACACTTCACCCATGATGCTTGAATTATGAAAGCGGGGAGAGTGGTCACGATGGAATAAGTGCTTCCTAAATTCAAAGAAAGTAACGATCATAAGACTTATGCACTAAGTTAGGATCATCTATAAATAGAGGAGTCCTTTCTCATAACAAACAATTATCATCATTAACAAACTATCAGTCAAGTTTCTAGATTTTGCGTCTGCTGCTTTATTTTCCCCTTTTATCATGTAGTTTTAGTCTTTACTTTTCTATTGTACAATCGACATAGCACGCTACCTCTTTTTTTAATTAATGTATTTATGCTTCCTTGCATCTATATTAATTTTTTTCATTGCATTCTCGAATTCAAGTGAATTGTAGTAAGGGAGCTTGGGTCCCCATATTTAATTAGAAGTCACATTCTTTCATTCTTTTAAGACTCCATGTCTCTGACACGCCTCACGACATCTCCTTTTTCGACAAACAATCTTTTGGCACACTCGGTAGGACACATGTAAACAAAATGCCTAGGACACGTAAGAATTAATATGTTATTAAAAAGAATAGACCTGAGTCTTATAATTAAGAGAACGTGACTGCGCACGCAGAATGTGAAGTACGGGCCTCTTGCACTCTAGTGACAGTGGGATAACAGGACAAAATTCAACAACCTTACAAGAACTAGTAGAGAACTTGAGAGCCAACATTAAAAAACTAGTAGGCACAAACTAAAGCTCGAGAGAAGTTGGAATGCCAAGCTGATGAGAGGCAAAGAAATATGTTGCTAACTCTTAAGGATGGATTAAGGAACATCTCAGTTATGCTGTCTAGATCGAGGTAGGAGCAAGCTCCAATTGGCTCACACGTTCAAAGAATAGATAAACTCAGGGGGTAATCTCTTAACGTGCCCTTCGATAAGAAGATTAATTATGAAGACTGCTATAACATCCTTCAAAGGAGATATGGCGAGTTTAACTTAATGGCAGGCTCGTTTAGCCGCTAGGGAAGATAAAGGACAAGATGCTGTAAGGAAGAAAAACAGCACCACCAAGACACCTTTCTTGGAGCTCTTCAAAAATGGAACCACTCAACCAATGCTCTCAACAAGTCTCTCCAAGAAATGCAAAAAGACCTTAAGGCTAAAGCCGGGCTTATGAGTTAAGCCACTATTAAGAAGCTTGAGGGGTAGTTTGTATGGGCTCACCAAGAAGACTCCATCTCCAAGGTGTCTCTTCAAGCCAATTTTCAAGTTGAGGAAAAATAGACAGCTTTACCTAGGATGTGGGAAAAAAAATTAAAAATCTGTAAAACAAGCTCAAGGAGTAACATCCAAGGCCTCCCAAAAAGAGATGAGCAAAGTCCTGGGCTAACAATTTCTACAATCTCGATACCTGAACTATTAATTTCTAAAACCACGAGGCTTGGCTTGCCATGTTTGTTAAGTCCTGGGATGTCATTTTTTGCAACCCCAGTACTTCAGCTGTTATTACCTACGACCTTTAGTCTATCAAACTTAAATGGCTTCCGTATAAAGGAGTCATATTTTGAGAGATAAGATCCTAAGTCGTTAATCCCACAAGGGCCATGTTTACAGAGATTGGATCCTAAGACGCCAATCTCACAAGGACTAATTCCAAGCTCTCTCCCCAGGGGCTCTCTCCATAAGGTCGAGCCCCGCAGTAACTAGATTTTGCAAAACTAGCCCTTGAAGTCTCAAAACTTGAAGGGTCAATTCCAAAACTAGCTTAAGATCCTAAACCTTGAGAAACTTGATCCTAAGCTAGACCATGTGGACCTTAATCCTCAACTACAAGAGTGTCCTCTAGAAAAAGTACCAAATCAACCATCAATCAGAATGAGAATGAGTTGGTCCTCCAAAGCATACTACTCATGCAATGCTTGGAAGTAGGACCAATGGAAATATCTAAACAAAATTACTTGCAAAGGCTCAAGCCAATTTATATAGGGGGCATTGTTATCACCCAAATTGTGAATTTACAGGCCTAAGCTCAACTCAACTTAAACGACCTTAAAATAATTAAAAATAAATATTCATGAAGCCCTAGCCACTAAGTTAAGACTAGGTCTAAATTATTATCTTCACACTTCACCTATGATGCTTGAATTATGAAAGTAAGAAAACTGACCATGGTCATGATGGAGGAAGTGCTTCTTAAATTCTAGAAAAGTGACGATTATAGGACTTGTGCACCAAACCAGGATCATCTATAAATAAAGGAGTCATTTCTAAAAAAAAAATCATTATTAAGAAGCTACCAGTCAAATTCTCAGACTTTGTGTCTTCTATTTTATTTTTCCTTTTACTTGTAATTTTAATCTTCATTTTTTATTATACGGTCGGCATAGTCCGCTACATTTTTCTTTAATTATTGTATTTCTACTTCTCTATATCTACATTATTTTTTTTTCACTTTGCATTTTTGCATTCTGATGAATTGTGACAAGGGAGCTCAAGTTTTCCATATTTAATTAGAAGTCAGATTCTTTCATACTTTTAAGATCCTATATATTTGACACGCCTCGCGACATCCCTTTTTTATTTTTATTTATACTAAACAACCAGAAAGAGTATGTGTGAATCATGCATGCTCTCCCCATATGCACCTATTTTTTATTGGGGCACAATATCTGAAGATTGCCCAAGTACAAATTCAATGGACCAACTATGCAAGCTTCCAACCCAGCAAGGGTTAGATACCACGCCAGCAATTTGCACTTCACACCATAAACTTGATATGCAATAAAATAAAATATGGTAAATATTGTTCTCCCTCCCACATTTTTTTATTGCATATTTTTTTTAAAAAAATAGATTAGATAATACCCCACACTCGCAGGTCCCTTTCAAGTTTGTTAAAGTCACACTTAAAAGTATCAAGGGATTTAGTTTTGAAAAGTGGGGATTGAAAATTGAGAACTGTAGTTTAAGAAATTAAAAAAAAATACAAATCAAGCATCCAACAAGTATTTCATTATCTTCGTAGAGGCACACTCTTGAATTATTTCAAGGACACTCTTGAAGCCTTGTTCACGGACATACATCAACAGAAGTCCAATTTCAATTTCAAACATCCTTATGTATTCTACCCGCCCATCAAACAATTTGAATTGCTTACCACATTCAAGCAAAGCTCATAAATAAAAGTCCATACTTGTGATAAACTAATTTCATAAAAGTAGTAACAAAATCATCTAAAATTTATATGGTATTCAGGAAAACAAGCAAAAGTTCGGCCATAAATTGAAAAAGAAAAAAAAATGGAGACGTGAAATTTTCACTTGAGAGGAATAAACCTTGGAGAGTGAGTGGCAGCAATAACAGGCCTACTATGCTTAACAAGCTTGTATGAGGTTGAGAACTCAGCTAGATAGTGACCAATCATTTCTGGTTTAATTTCAACTTGATTGAAGGTCCTGCCGTTGTAAACACCAATAATGCTACCAATCATCCCAGGTACAATGATCATGTTGCGAAGGTGAGTCCTTACTAGTTTCGGCTTTTCACCAAGAGGGGCCTCCTGCTTCTATCTCAGTAAAATAAAGCCAATTTATTTAAACATCAGCATGGCATGGTGAAGAAGCAAAGCAAAGTTCAAATGCTAAGAATACAGTTAAAGGACTGTAACAGACACGCTAAATTTAGATTATGTAAAGTGACAATTTTGCTGGCAAGTTATGAATCACCAGAAAAGAATTCACAGCTTCCTGTGATCAACGAAAAAAAATAGCAAAAATGTAAACAGTTTAGCAAAATCATTATACTCTCCATCTGTTCAAAAGCAAGTAAATAATCGAACCTATCAAGACCCATTTCCAATGGCTCAAACTTTACATCTTCCATAGCAAATCACTACTAAACTCTCCCATCCATAAGTTTTTCTACACCCTAACGGTTCCTGCAATTTCTTTAATGACCAAATTATATAAATCATTTTGGGGTAAAATACAGAGCCCTGGCTTGGTCTGGGTAGAAAAAGGATAACATTTGGGATGTACAGAGGTTGGATATTACGTACGAATGCTGCCTGT